GTTTAATATTTATGACAGTGGGTAATATCACCAGAGGGGATGAAATTTTTTTACAAATTTCCTATTTATCAGAGAACTTAATAATGGAGGGCAGAAATATGGGGCATTTTGCTAAATTGGTATAAAAATACTTCAGTCCATTTGCAAGCAGGGAATATAAATTCAGGCTACCTCATGTATTTACCTTTTACCTGCCACCTAGTGCTCTCCTTGACATATTTTTAAGTCTGTTATTATACTGAACAAATAAACCAAGTCACAAAACTGAGTACACACATCTGAAGCAATTTAAAGATTTCACTTTTTTTTCCAGACAAAACAAGTACCAGTGAAATTTGGAAAGTGCATTTCAGTCCACAGCTTTCTCAAATGGAAATATTTCAAAGCTTTCTTGTACAAGAAAAAGAATAATGTTCCCATGAGAATTACTTGCCAGGGGCAAACTCCATCTTCACAGCGTTCTAGCATCACCAGGAACCAGCCAAATGATTAGTTTTCCTATAGAAAATCCCTAAAGAGATTCAGACAAGAAAGGCAGAAAAGTCTCTGCCAGGCTTGCATAACAGGAACTGCTTCTGATGGCACACTCAGCCCAATAAGGCAAAGGAAAAAGAGGCAAACAATCACAAATCCCACCAAAACTTGAACCTGATGACTTAGAAGAAAGACTGCTTGCAATGTCAAATCAAATAAAAGAAATAATGATATCCACTAACTCATACAAACAGATCAGATGCCTAGAAACAGGTCATTTCATCAGAACTTAGGATTTTTGGAGGAACATTCAGAAGACAGTAGAGGAAAACTGCTCTTTTTTGCTGTTACTAACAGGTGCATGAAGACAATTCCATATTGAAACTATAAATCAAGGCAGAGACCTCCCCTTGCTTTGAACCCAGTACAGAAGAGATGTTTTGATTGGATGAAGAAATGTTAAAAAGAAAAAAATCATGCAGTAAAAACATAAAGAATTGCTGTAATTCATGGCTCAAATAAAACAGAAACTTATCAGTAGAACCAGATATATGATAGAACTCTCCACATTATTATTAACAAATGCTGTATTAGATTCATACATTTTGAAGGTTTTACCCTTTATTTTTCTACCTTATCTTTAACAAACATTTTCTTCCCAACAAGATATGCAAGATCCACTACATAAAATAAAACGCACCATATTTCCTGCTGATTTTGCAGCATTTAATAGCATAAGGTCAAGTTTTGTACAATTATTTTTCTAACAATGTGCAGCTACTTTAAAAAAAAAACAAACTTGGGCAAGCATACAAGCATTTTACATAGAGTACAATTCCTTATTATGCCATTTAAGAAAGTGGTTTGCTTCTTTTTTTTGACAATCAGAGCAACAAACTATTCATCAGCTTCATCCCCATCTCACAGCCACTTTTAACACGCCATGTCAACTAAAAAGTTGATCGCAGCTGCTGTGTGGGACACTATCTCATTTCTTGATGAACAAGGCAGCTTTTCTGGCAAATACTGACAACTTGAAAAACATTCCAGTACATTTTTAAGAGCATGGAACAATGAAGCAGTACAAGAACTGATCGTGGGGCAAAGTTCTGTACCGATTGACACTCAGAACATTTGATACTGTAACTTGGGAAGGCTACAGAGTCGCATATATCAAATATGCACATGTGCCGGGGGACCGGTGATCTCTTTGGGCGCTTCATTTCTACAATTCCACACTAAGCAGCAGAGTCTTTGAGATACACTTGTTCTCAAAAGCAAGTAAGAAACAAGTGAAAAAGAAATAAACCATCAGCGGCTTCTTGTTCACTCTTACCTATCACAGATACTGTTCCTCCCTCCAAGCATCGCCCTCAAGTTCCAGTGCAGACAGCCCTGAAGACTTCAAGAAACTCCCTTCCCAGAAATTGCCAATTTACCAGGGAAAATATAAATAGACAATTAATCAGATGGACATATTCAGGAGGGTAAGTCAAATAACATTAATGACAGCACCAAACTTCCTGTAAAAGGAAGGGGAAAGGGAAAACTCCTTCTACACACATCCAAGAATAATAGCAATGCCATAGAAACCACATAAAAAAAATCAATACAGTGCAGCAGCTAAGCTGAGAGCTGAAGACCAGCTCTAAACAAAGGTGAGACATTAAATCATTGACTGGAACTACTTTTGGTAAAATCTCATAATTTAATTACAAATCCTATCCTAGTTCAATTTTTCTTGAAAAAAACTAATCAGAGTAATTGAGTTATCCCTTTCAGGGTTTTGAAATGTATACCATCCCTCCCAGGTAACTACATTTGTAATAGAGTTTAGAACTCCACTAAAAGTAATTCTTCTGCAAAAGCTCAAAATTAAATAAAGATGTTTCAACATAATGTGTATTATAGAACTGGAAACTTTCATTACTCATCAAGACTAACTTAGTCTGCTCATCAGGAAAGTATTAGATGCCTCTGCACCTGTATTATGGTATCACACGCTTGTATGGGTATGGGATATATCCCAAGATATATCCATATGTTTGCCCTGAATGCAAACACCGAGGTTTTGAGTTACTGTGCAACAACTTCTGCTCCTCATCCCTCGCTCTCTAATAAACAGTGTTGTCAATAAAGTTTGGCTTCTACAAACCAAAGACCCTATCGTTACTCAGAATTATCTGGAAGCAATACTAAAGCCATGACAAAGTAAATTGTGTTTCATCGTTTTTTTCCCTTCCTCTGGCTGTGAGAAAACACAGATCAATACTCTTCAGCATGAGAATTCTGCAGTGAAATTTTCATTTGTTACAAACAGCAACAAAAGGGCCCCAAGCATGCCCTGTCACTTCCAGTTTAGAAGGAAACGCACTAATAAACTCTTCCCCCTGGGTCATCTTTGACAATGGGCAATACTATGCCAGCTCTTATTAAAGGCAATTCATATCAGTGGCCCAAAAATTTCCTTTAAAATTATCATCTTTTGTATCCATGTAGCAGGATGTCAGCTTTAAAGTGCCACTGAGATATAGGACCTGTCATTATGGTTAATTTTCACTACAGTTTTAACACCAGGGTAGCTGATCCCTAAGGGTATGGGTATGCTTTTTTGGCTAACAAGATTTATTTAGCAGTTATCCAGACAAACAAGAAAATATATTACTGTATATTGCTTTTCAAATACAACAACAAGCAATAAATCCAACTCTAAAATATATATATCTTTGTTCTCTACCATGGTGTCAAATAGATGAAAATGGTTTTGGAAGGTTTATCTTTTTTGGGGGCATTTTTTAATATTTTTATTTATGTATGTATGTGTGTATATATGTATATTAAAAAAAAAAGTTTAAATTCTTGGATTTCCAATAAAAAGCACGCAAAAAGTTAAACCTTCAACCTTAAAATTAAAAAAAGCCTCTATAGCTGATATATATATATCAGCTATATATATATATATATATATAGCTAAATATAAAATTTGTGTTTTGAGCCATAAATATGACATTATCTACAAAATTACCTAAGTTTTTCAGCAGGGCAATATGATGCATTTCAAAAGATGGTTCTATTAAATTTTATATTCTTTTTGGATTTTTGGAGGATTTTTTTGTTTAGGTTTGTTTTGTTTTTTTTAATACAAATAGCATTCCTAACACCATTTTATTGTGGTTTTATACTAGAAAAAGACTAAAAACTTCATTTATTGGATAAATGCATTGATTTGAGCTGCCTTTCTAACAACAAAACTGTTTTCATGCTTCGATAGGACTTATTTCAATTTGTTAGGATGAAGAAGACCATCTCGCAGTTTGCTAGACAAAATGTGCATCTAACAGAATAAAAAGAAGCTCTTAACATGTTGTCTAAATCTTTGTATAGTCAGCAAGGACCATCTTTATTGATGTTTTATAGCAGCCATAAAACCTGGTTGACCTCAATCAACTGGTCTCCCAGGGAAAATACCTCTGCCAGCAAATATCAGATAAAAAATAGGTCAGGGCATTTCCAACATTGCTTTTATTTCTACAAGCTGAGGACAAACTTGCTTGCCCTGTCCCCATTCCAGATGCAAGCTTGGCATCTACAAGATGCCAAACTGAGCAAACAGCCCCTTCCTTCACCAAAGAACCGAGCAAGAGCCCACCGTGTGTCAGACCCCTGCACCTACCTGGCCAAAACAGCCCCTCCATCAAGCAGCAGCCCCACAAAGAGATTTTGTACATCATTTCTTTTTCCCAGTTAAAAAACTGTAAACCTCATCACAACTAAGAATGAAACAAGCAGTTTTGGAGTTAACATAGCTAGGGAAGAAGAGGTTCAATAGCTTACTCCAGGCCATAGAGCACACAATTTTTCAACTGAAAACTGGACTCCCATGTTCATCCATATCCTTTCTCAGTCGAGATTATGTTTCCAGAGCATAAAATGCAAAAATAAAAAAATCACCAACTCAATCACACCACAAACAAGCTATGGTTGCACACCAGCAGGCTTTTGAATTGATTTCAATCAAAAAAGTATTTCAGGTGGGAAAAGCAAGTTTTCTTTTTTTCCTTTTACTTCTGTATTGGAAATCATCACAGAACAGCTCTACAATGCTCCCAGTCCTTGGGTAGGTGAAAGTTTACAACTCTTTTTATCTACCTATCTCCCAGGTAACAGAACAATGTATTATTTGCTATACTACCACTATGCTCAAGGCAACAGATTTTAAAAGGGAATGCTAACTATGTATAGGTGGAATCTGATTTGCACCTTGAATTTAACAAATAGCATTTCCAGAAAAGCATGCAGGCACATTCCACACTCTGTGGGATAAGGGTTTTACACAGGTGCATTCTGTGGAAAGCAATTGCAAGAAGCTTTGCAAACCAATCTTTCATCTTATGAGAGTTCCACAGCGCTATCTTTGTATGATCATTTCAGATCAAGGCATATGTAGGCCAAATAAAAAGTGTAAGCAGAAAGCACTGGCATTAAAAGCATTTAACTGGATAAAATGAAAATAAGTAAAACTTTACCTCGAACAATAAGTTGAGCAAAGTTTGAGACTCCGGAACCTCTCTCTGACTGAGTTACACAGCGGTATAAATCCTGGTCGGTTTTTGTCACCTCTTGCAACTTAAAGGTAGCTGCAAATCTTCTGTGATTGATATTTTTAGTCTGAGCAACTGGAATATCTTCTCCATTTCTTCTCTGAAAATAAGAGTAACCAAGGCAGAGTTAACTCAAAAGATATAAAAGATATTTATCATTATCATCATACAAAGAAGACACAAAAAACAAAACCTTAGCCCAAATGCATTCAGACTGTGCTACCATGCATTTCCATGGCAGAAGAGTACTCAGTACTGAGGTCCCATCAGGAAACAAGCAGTACTCAATAGCATTTAAAAACCAAGTTTGGGAGTGAAAAGTACCATCAGGATTTTGCACTGGCACAAAAAATGACCAAGACTTAACTGCAACTACCTTATAGCTGGAATCATCCTAGGACAGCCCAGCAGTAGCAGCTGTACTCCTAAGAAAATTCATTCAACTTTAAGCAGATTTACAACACATACACTGGGTGTATTGTAAGATATATTTAAACAAATCTGGCATTGAGGGATTTCAAAAGTCTGCAACAGCTCTTTTTCACCAGCTAACCAATGTTTCCTTTTTAATGTTACCTTTTATCTGTCCAAGTTCAATACCTTCTAAAATTTTAGCTTTGTTATACTAAGCGCCACATACCCATCCAAAGCTAGCTGAAATAAAAAGTGGAGGGCAGGAAGGCACTAAAAGAGGAATAACACAGATCTCATTTAAAGGAAGGAGCTTAGAGAGTTCTTAAAAAAAGCACAGCTACCACAAATCACTGAAAAATTTAATCTGTCTGGAGCTGCAGGGCCAGGTGACAGGTCAGTAAGATAGAAACAGTTTGAGCTCTTGTGGGATCCTTTTTCCTTGTTACCATTCACATTAAATGCTCAATTTTTATTTAAGTTGAAAAACAAGACCCTCCACCAAAAGTCAGTATTTAAAAACACCCAGAAACCTGCACAAAGAGAACAAACAATGTCACTGCTCTCTCCCATGGATCAACTGCAATTTCCTGTCCAGGATACAGTTTCTGAGCACTCAGCATTGCTCAGTCCCTGGAAAGATGGCATCATTTACTTGTAGCCACCCATTCTGCTCAACATAGAGCAAAGCATGACCTCTGTGGATGTTTTTAGCTCTAATCAACCCCTGGAATGAGAAACTTCATTGAGGTTTTAAACTCCAAGCTTTCTAACACCAAAAGCACTGCTGCTGAACCACAGAATTTAATAACCTGAAAGCCTGTGGCAAAACATCAAGGGCAGAAAAAGGAGATGATTTAATGCTGCATGTGTATATCAGCCAGCCTCCTGTCGCAGGCAGGAGTGCTTTATAACCCTCAGATCCTTCATTTTACATCTACCCTTTGTCATCCTAGCATGGGTTAGTCACTTTAAACAGTTTTGTGGTCCATCACCACTGAAACAAGCATTCACTCTAACTATTAACATGTTTAAACAGATTAATTCTATTTATATCAAGCAGGCAAATTTCAGTCACTCATATTGCAGTACAAAGACCATGCCATTATCTTTACCAACTTCAGATTTTTGGTGTGATTTTCTCGCTGCAGGAAGACACCATCCAGTTTCCCTCACCCAGCCACCCTCTCTGCCACTTCATCAGGTGTGAACTCTGTCTACAGGGCTGGGCCAGAAAGAGCCACAAGATACCAAGAATAAAAAACGATTTCCAGAACAAAATGGCACACAAGACACTTCCAAAATGTACTGTTATTGCTTCTCCCTAAAACTGTCATCATCTCATAACAGCCACAAGCCTGATTATCACAGAGGTGGTCTCTGAGAGGGTGCTCCCAGGACAAAAGCAATGGGTGTTGGGCTCTAGGACACCTGGACCAATTGTGGTACAGCCGAGTCACCCTATGACAGACACAGGCTCCATCCTCAGCTCTAATTTAGAAAAAAATAAGGAATTTTTCTGATGCCTGCAAATACTCCTACACATGAAAGGCCTTATTGAACTACAGGAATCAATGAAATTATTAAATTCCAATATCAAGCAAATAAGGGATGATGTTAAAGACTTTATTTCAGTGATACTTAAACAGCAGTAAAATTATTTTGTAGGAGGTGCACCTTCCCCTCCTGCTAGCTGGCTTCTTTTGATAGAAAATGCTAAATTTGAAAGCAGGATTTTCAAGCCTTGAACTTCCCACCCTTCTTACCTCCTCGCCCCTGGCTCCCTCCCCAGTATCAACCAAAGGTTTGGACTGTCAGAAATGATAACTTAATATAAACCTTGGATCTAATGCCTTGAAGTAACCAAAATAAACAAACCTCATGATACTTTCTTCCTCTCAGGCTTGTCCCATGCCCATCATAGGTACCCAGCAGAAGGAAGACAAACTCCACCACTAAACACAAACTTGCCATATGATTGTCAAAAATACCAAGCAGCCAATAATAAACCAGTGTATCTTTAAACCTTATATGACAGCATACTTGACAAGCAAACCATGTAATGCAGTCATTCTTGTTCTGCTATGGAAGGAGAATACATATTAGGGAGTTTTCTAAAATGAAGGCTTCTGTTTCAGTAAGTCCAGTGCTTTAAATTGGAATGCCAAACATTAGTCAGGAGCAGAGAAGCACGTCCAAGCTATATTATATAAAATAATTTACATTCTGAAGATCAGAACTTGCTTACTTAATCTCATCTGCATGCTTCAAGTTTAGAAACAAAGTGAATTTGGCTTCTACTTAAAATTAAATATTAATGCACTTTTAGAGAAATTAATTAAAATAAAATTTGACAAGGTTTACAGTTCTAGAACAACACCTCAGATTTTCTTTTTTATTTATATCAGTGATTTCCTACCATATTATCTTACAAGGCTTAGAGCAGTTGCTCTAATTTCTCTATATTAGAATTTATTTCTTGGGAATTCAACTGCACAACTAGATTTTTAGAGTCTTTCTTCACGTAGAGATTATCCATTAGAATATATCTTCATCATTAAAATGATGAAAAGTTCAAACAGAAGAGAGTTCTCATCTAAGAATGAATGTTAAAGAAAAAACCTTGCATTCATTTCAGCACATATCCCTTACACTGGTAACCCATTAGCCAGTCAGAGTTCAGATGCACTGTCACGATCTCTTAATTAAATTCTTCTTTTTAATGTCAGAGCATTACTACTGATTTTAAAGGAGAGGGAAGAAAGGCAGCAGTGCTCTGCTTATTAAGGGTTCCTGGTACATACTGTTTCAATTTATGTCCTGCTCACACTGAACAGAGCTTGAAAATGCTGCTCAATTAAGTTTTAAAAATTCAATTTAAAATTAATGTGGAGTTATACTAATGGGTAATGGCTGTACCCTGTGCGATCCTTGGTTCCTCCAGTCTCTTGCTGTCTGATTTGATAACCCTGAATTGCTCATTTAAGAGAGGTCACCACCAGGCAGTTCTCCTCTTTTGTGAAAATAACTCTGGGCTTCACAAAGAACTATTCTCCATAAACACTTGATTAAAAGAAATATTACCCCGTGAAAAAAACCTCCTTAATTCTGGTATTTCAGGCATTTAAAATTACAGTCTTAAATAAATTGCTCTGACTTCAAGGTTATTTTTAATTTGATAGGAACATGGTTTTATTAAACTTTTGAAATAAGATCATCTATATTTTAAATAAAGTCAACAGCAAAACCTATGCAGCTTAAAAACAATCTTAGGTAAATGAACACTTAGTCTTAAATATCTCTCTTTTGCCTCATGAAAAAAATCAAGCATTTAATAAATACAAAATGCAATATTAGTGGCTCTTTTAGAACCTGAGCGGAACCAAAATAATCTAAACTCCAACATCTTATTTATTGGTAGAATTTAAGTGCTTATCTTGTACAAATTTAAAACTTATCATCCTTTCTCCCTCAACTTTTCAGGTTGAAAACTGGTGAGCTTTTGGGTTTTTTGTTTAAATAGCAATGAGACGCCTGTCTGCAGCGACGTTGCCTCTAAATTTTCCAGAACCCTTTTTTTTCACACTAGTGATTTTTATGAGCCTGGACAGTTCAACCTTACACATCCCCATCCTTTCCTTACTGTAAACACCTTAAAATAAGTCTGCTCTAGTGCTAATGATTGCAGTCAACTCTGGCTGCCTTCTCGGGCTCTCGGCTGGATGCCGGGATGCCTCCAGAGATCAGAAGATGTCAACACTTTGGCTGCAGTGACACCCGCGTTACGCTGGCAGCGGTGCCCTCCCTATCAGCTGCCCTGCACTCGCTCCCTCCTCATCCTCCCTCCTGTGCTCACCTGCGCAAAAAAAAAAAAAAACAACAACCCAGAATGTGCAAAACCTTCCTGCAAACATGCTCCCTCCTCATATATTATCATCACCAGACGGATTAGCTTGTGATGGGATTCACGGCACGGCCGCTGAGAGAGCGGGGCACGCTCCGTGTGGCAAGGAGGGCACAAGCCCGCGGTGTGTCTGAGCAGCGCCGGCCCCAAAGCTGCAATCACAACCTCAGCAGCAGCACAAGGGCTGGAAAGATGCCCCCAGCAGCTCAGGGCATTAAACCTCTGCTGCCATGAGGAAAGGGTCATTTGTAAACAACATGTTCCAAAATATTCGTGGGTTTACTCGCTATGTAAAGGGAGAAATGTGCCTTTTGCATGGGGGGGAAAAGAAAGAGGATTGTCTGTGGATAGTTTGAATGCTAGCAATAGTGCATAATCTCTGCTAGATCATGTTTTTGAAAAATAAAAAAATAAAAAAGAATTTTAAAAAAATTTAAAAGCGAGGGCAGTAAAACCCACAACTATAGTGTTCTTTTGGAGCATTTAAGACACAATTTCCAAATGGAGAAAAATCCAAAACACTTCTATATTATTATCACTATTATATTTTCTTTACACAAATATCTCAATATATTCTTGGCATTTTGAAATTTATTAACGTACTAGGAACATCATAAAGCATGACATACATTTATTGTGAGAAATTGTAAATAAAATTTTAATCATTTTCCCCCACAAAGGATTTAATTACTGAACAAAGTGGGAATATTTTTCCAGTTTTATTTATAAGCACAAAATTTAGACAAAGAAGTCTTTTTTTCCCAAGAAGATCATGAATTAGTAAT